AGAGTGTGTGTAGTCACAGATCCAGTCCCTGTTCTCATCCAGCAGCAGTAATTTTATCAAAAGATAGTGTAGCTGCAGCACAAAGTGATTGATCATGAATGAAACCTGCCGAGCAGCCTTAGAGACTGTATTCAAGGAGAAAGGCAGATTCTCTATTACATTTGGGAGCTGAGCAGAGATGACTTCAGATCACAAATAAATGAAAGTTTAACTATTTTACTGGTGACCAAAGGACTGCTGTTGGTGAAGTGAAACATTAACAACAGGGTGAGCATGAACAGGATTGCTCAGTGAAGTTCATCTTCAGGCACAACAGAACTGAGGTTGTCCAATGCACAGGAAGCAGCAGGCATGGTAGAGGGGGACAGCATGCTGCAGGCTGCAAAGGAAGCCCAAGCTGGTGAGAGAATGTTTTAAACATTTCTTCTTTCTAGTCATAGAAGAAACTGTAGGCAAAAAGGCACTAGAAGTGACAAGATGTTTCTCTGGCTGTTATAAATTGACTAGTTATCAGATGATAGGTTTTTATATATAGATTAGGTAGTTGATATTGTTAGTGGTATTAATCTAAATACCTTTACAATTTTGGGTGTGTAAAAGCTGGTGAATAGAGCAGATATGAAGGTCTTAGGACTTCCGGCATATTTTCCCGGTTGTTCAAGTGATTTAATACATCATTTTCTTAAATTACTTTGAAGTTTGAGAGAAGTCTCCAGGCAATGGAAACCGGTCTTGAGCTGTCTAAATCAGTTTAAGCCATGCTTTTTCCTGTAATCAAAGAATTGGAGAAAATAAGCCAGAAGATACCTGGAGAAGTTATCTTGTCCATCCAGGGCCAGGTCATTAAGCCCAAAGTGTTGCTGGCACACATTCGTCTAGCTGCTTATAATCTTATCTTGGAAAGAAAGAAAGAGGAGAGAAATACAGATATGGTAAAAGGGCTATAAAAGTATGACCGATGTATATGAATTCAGGCTAAGTCTCATTATTAAGATACCAGTGTGTCTGAGCTGAAAATCAAAAAGGGAATTGTAGGATAAGATGAATGCAGATAAAAATTAAGAGATCAGTTGAGTATAAACAGATTAATGTGCACAGCACTGCAGCAGGAAGCAGTGAAAATCTGAGGATTGTAAATGCAGAGGGAAAATGCAGATTGTCTTCCTGTGGATTTGGGAACCAGAAAAAATTAAACGATGAACTGAAAGTTATAGAAACATTTATTCAAGAGAACTTCTGGCTATGCAAGGCATCTGGTAGCTGAGTATTAAATTAAAGCATGAATCATCCTGCAGATTCCTCACTTGCATAATGAATAACTCAGAAAAGCGGAAATTTTACAGAAACTAGTCCTTGCTTTCATGCTTACCAGTTGAAGTTATTTATCATGTGATTTTCATAGAATATTTCAGGAGGGCACTTTATCCATCTGCCTGCTTTGGAAAAGGACCTAGTATTTAGCCAGTCCCTAATAAATTCTTATGTAACAGGCATCAGGGATTGCCTGGACTCTGCAGCCCCAGCCACACCATCTCTGTTCCAGTGCTGACCTATCCTTGCAGAAAGGGAATTAGACCAAAAGCAGCCCCAGTTCAGAAACTGGCTTTCTGAACATGAAGTCAGTTGTTTCTCTCATCTTATCCTTGAAAATAGAGAATAGTTGGTCTCTGTGGCTGCTTTTCCTGGTAATGAGTAGGGGTAGAACTGGGTATTCTTTTTTCCTGAACTTCATCTTTTTCATTCCAGAGGCACAAATTGGTTTCTCCCATTTAGCAATGTCATTTTAAATTCGTGCCCTGTTGTCATGGTTTAAGCCCAGCTGATAATTCAGAACCACACAGCCATTTTCTCACTTTCCCCTTCTCCCCCACTCTGGGTGGGATGGAGAAGAGAACTGAAAGAATGTAAATCCCATGGCTTGAGATAAGAACAACCCAATAACTAAAGTATACTACAAAACTACTACTAATAATAACAACAGTAAGGGAAATAACAATGGAAGAGAGTATAAAACTAAAAAGGGAAAGTAAAAAAACCAATAAACACAAGCAATGCACAATACAATTGCTCACCACCCACTGATTGATACCCACCCCAACCTGATCAGCAATCTGGTCCTTTCAGGTGACTCCCCCCAGTTTACATACTGGGCATGATGTGCTGTGGTATGGAATACCCCTTTGGCCAGTTTGGGTCAGGAGTCCTGTCTCTGCTCCGTCCTGGCTTCCTGTGCCCCTCCTCACTGGCAGAGCATGAGAGACTGAAATCCAGAGCATGAAGAGCTTTCTTGCAGGTTTCTCTCTCCTGGTTTTGGACACAAACATGAGCAGCATGTTGGCTCTGCTTATATTCTCTTTGCTTATGGAATAGCGGAGGACCTATGTGTTTCATGTCCTCTAATCTGGTGGAAAATCACTGATGACTACTCTAAGAGGGATTTCCCAGTTGCCTGTGTTTCAACTGGACCCTCTTTTCTTTGTGAGACATTAGAGGCACTAGAGTTATGATGTACCACATATGCTTTAGCTGTTGCCAAACAATAAAACAGTCTGGTTTGAGAGCTTTTTTTCCAATCCAAAATGGCTGTTTTGTAAACCTTATTCTCCTTTTGGTGTTTAGAAGGAATTATCTGATCAAGTATCTCTGAGGCTATGGAGGAACACACCTAGGTTGTCCTAACCTGCCATTTTAAAGGCAGTGGTGATGCTTGTCCTGCTTCTGCCCTTTACAAGGGAAGTAATTCAATACTGCATTCGGCACTTGAAAGCGAATTTCATCAGGCTTCAGTGATATGAGTACATTTAAGGTATCTAACCATTCTGCAAGCAGTTTTTGTCTCATTTTACCCATATTCCTACAGGTTCATTTTAATGGTGTAATATATCTTGTTGTAATTTAGTTTTTTTTAGTCATGTCAAACAAAAAGGTCACTTTTCTGGTTTCTCTGGATGAGCTTTTGTTTTTGTTTTCTAGTTTAAATAACAGACTTTCATTTTCCTTCCTCTTTCTCCTATATTGGCAGCATTTCTAACACCTTTTGTTATTGCCTTTTGTGTCCCCCTGCTAGCTGTAATTCATTTTGTGCCTTGGCTTTGCAGCCTCTATCGCTCCATGCTTGATCTTTTTGTTTATACCTGTCTTCAGAAATGCCACCTTATTTCCATTTGTGGAACAATTCCTTCCTGATTTTCAGTTCAGCTGTGGTTCTTTCTATTGAAGGAGATAGAAGGAAATGTAGAAGAAGGAGTTACAAATTAATTCAGAATGAATCTATCTGAGGTGCTTGCAAATTTATTCTCCTGAACTTGTTCTTGTTGTTTGCTATGAGTTACCATTTATTACCAGACATCCGAATTCTTTTTCTCCCTTTCTGTCTAAGATGTCCTTCTGGAAGCTAATGGCCTAAATGGCTCTGCAGTGTATTTGACATGTAATGTGTTAATCCCACTGACTGATACATTTTTTTTTCATGCTAGTAGTAAAAAAAAAAAAAGCATTCAGCTTGTATGTATACACACACAAGAAATAGAGCTGCAGGATGCTGAAAAATATTAAGGTACCACATTGCAGCAGCGTGGGGCCCCTGCGCAAGGGATGGTGAAACCTTTTCTGGCTTTCTTTTGTATTATTCCTGTAATAACTTGCTGGTGTGTTTGCTCTTCTTGCCTGTGCATGGCAAAACACAGCAGGTTTCTACTGGCAGTTGCCTAGACATTGTTGGGGCAGTA